GTGCTCCTTTTTGCCTTGATGGGGCATAAGAGGTGAACACACAACTCTTTTTCCAGCCCATCCAGCCCAACAGCTCACCAGGGGTTTCTCCCCAGCACTGATATTTTTCTGATGTATATTTCTGTCTGATGTAATAACTCCTGCTTCTCTTTCCACGAGCTCCTTGGATCTGAACAGTGATTGAAGCACCAAGGACAGTGCTAGCAATTTTCCTGTTGTGAGGACAAATCTAAAGAACGACATTTAGCAAGAATTCCCTATTTGGAGTGCATCTGCATCCCTCCACCTTTTACCCAGAGAAACCCAAGCATTCCTAGAGCAGTGCTGAATAAAACAATTGTTTTCTGACAAAGTTGAGGCAGCACCATGTGCTGAACACTGACATTCATATTCACATTAGAGAAATTGCTCTGCTCCACAGAGAAGCATTCAGGACTAAAACTTCCAAATTAAACATAGCCTTGCTTTAAATCTATTCATTTTTTCTATGCTAATACATTGACCAAAGTTGTTTATATTACATGAAGCAGAGATTACAATGTGAGTCACAATAAACCTTCATTTTTCTTTCACCTGAGGACTTCAGGAAGCAAGCTGATGTCACATGAACAGCAATAAAAACATCAGAACCAGGCAATTCATCATTGCAGCAAAGTGTTAAATAATAAGCTTCCCCTGTGCCTGTTTTCTCATCTTTTAATTTTAAAAAAATTCTTGCTACTTTGAGTTATTTTGAAGTTGTGTCTGTTTACTCTTCTGTCAAGTTGTTGAAATACTTTTAGCAGACAACAAAAGGAAACAAATTATTTCACAGAACACAGAATAAGAGCATTTAACGTTATAGTGAGAGCCAAATCAACTGCTCCTATAATAAATCTTTAATCCCCTGAAGATGTTCTCTTACATTGAAGCAAGGCAGGAACAGAGCTGGAGTCACTGAGCTGACAGAGCAGCAGCAGAACCACTCATGTCTGACACAATGACTGCAAACTCCTTGCTCCAAAGGGGCAGGCACAAAACAAATGGGATTGGAGTGGCAGGAACATCACCTGCAGCCATCAGGGGCCACAAGGGTAAGAGCACCCACTGCCCAAGGCTCCTGTGGAGCAGATTTAGGGGATCACAGGCACTCCCAAGCCTTGAGGAGGGGAAGGGCAGGGCTCAAGGGCTGTGTGGATACACTGAATGTGTATTCACTGTGTGTGTTGTGCCCTGAGGAAGTGGCCCACAGCACAGAGGGCACAGCTGCCATCAACAAATAAAGTTATTTAAACCTTCTCTCCATCCCTCAGAGGCAAAAGAGCCCTCCAGTGTGAGCTCTTGCTCCTCTCAGTGCTTTGACCACCAGATGAAAATGTTTTCCATTAGTCTCTATTTCTCCTTTGTCCTGCAGTGCCCTTCAGGAGCCAAGTGCTGCTGCAGCCCTTGTAGGAGCATC